CCCAGGAGACCAGTTTATCAACAGAGTCATAACAAGAATCCTATTTATGGTCTGGTCGAAACCTGGCGTGTGCATCAAGTCTCCCTCACACAACAACAAACACTTCATCTCTCTCTCCTTGATAAATAAGGAGTAGGAAATATTGCTCCACTCATACACCTCCAAGAAGTATACTCTATGCTGTATGTTATCAGTCACGTAATTATGTGTTTATAGTATTTATATAACAAAGATATATTGCTTTTGGATAATGGTCTTTTTTTTTTTACAATTTAACGAAAACAAAAGTGAAGGACATGTTAATTTAACCGACTATCATTAACTCTACCAGATCAATAGAGTGAAAGTAGTACATCCATGGTATATATGAACCCCTTACTGAAGGTCCTCAAACAGTAACATATATTCCTTGGTGAATAAAAACGACTGCGAGAAGTGGTAGACTTTTAATGACTTTAATGGCGCCCTAATGTAAGAAAACACCTAAGACCTGTTGTGGCCATTAACGCCGGACGATATACCAGGAAGTGCCCAAGCAATATTGTCCTAAGATGTATTCGTCATATTCAATAAATATACCTCGATGAACTAACATCTTTAGGACCTTTTTAGATATGATGGTGTATGTCACTGTGGCCGTGAGAACATAACTACCAGGTAATGTAATTTTTATTTAATGCAATGTCGCTATTCGTTATTGCTGGGTTGTTGTGTAAGTAAATAGAATATTTTCTTCGTTGTGACACTTAGTGTATCACATATTAATGAATTGAGAAAATTATTGTAATTGTTATTACGCATACTCTTAGAAAACGATTTTAGTGTCACTTATAGAAAACGTTAATAGTCAGACTCTTAGAAAACGTCACTAACCTAACCTAACCTAACCTAAGGTAGCATTAGGGTGCTTGATCATCAGATGAATACGTTAAGGGGCTAATCCCCAGGTTAACCAATTATAGTTCCCAAGTTTATAAGGTAACGCCAGGTGACAGGTGTGGGTATTGTAGGGGAAGATGAATCACACATTGTTTGGTTGAGTTGGACTTCAAGATGGCTTATAATCAATTAATGTCTGTGGAAGAAAGTGTCGCGTGTTTTATTATTTGTTTTCATCCAATTTAGGTTTTGTTAATAATTTCTTGTGATTTTTTTCGTGTTATAATAATTGAAGTTTTCTTGTCGATTCCAAGTTAAACATCTTCACTAATTGTAAAGTACTGTAAAGCAGTAGACTCTATTGTATTAATCTGTCTATACACACTTTGGGTTCACTCGTCACAAAAAGTTCTCCAACAGCTGGGCGACAGATTTCAGAATGAGCACCATGGCTCGTGTCATCTCAGAATGGTTGGTATGCCTGGTTACGAAATGACTCTCAATATTTTGTAATAATATGCTATTCGCCTGTATAGTATTTACAGGTGAAAAGAAGCAATTTGTTTTGCAATAAAGCTTCCTCAGAGAGCAATGTTCAGATTTCTAGTTCGTTTTGTCATATTGTATGACCCTTAGAGCGTTTGAGAACTTTTTGTGGCGAGCTTTAAACACATCTTACTTTGTTTATGAATCAGGTGTCTGTATGCTAATAATGTTGTGTGTGTGTGTGTGTGTGTGTGTGTGTGTGTGTGTGTGTGTGTGTGTGTGTGTGTGTGTGTGTGTGTGTGTGTGTGTGTGTGTGTGTGTGTGTGTGTGTGTGTGTGTGTGTGTGTGTGTGTGTGTGTGTGTGTGTGTGTGTGTGTGTGTGTGTGTGTGTGTGTGTGTGTGTGTGTGTGTGTGTGTGTGTGTGTGTGTGTGTGTGTGTGTGTGTGTGTGTGTGTGTGTGTGTGTGTGTGTGTGTGTGTGTGTGTGTGTGTGTGTGTGTGTGTGTGTGTGTGTGTGTGTGTGTGTGTGTGTGTGTGTGTGTGTGTGTGTGTGTGTGTGTGTGTGTGTGTGTGTGTGTGTGTGTGTGTGTGTGTGTGTGTGTGTGTGTGTGTGTGTGTGTGTGTGTGTGTGTGTGTGTGTGTGTGTGTGTGTGTGTGTGTGTGTGTGTGTGTGTGTGTGTGTGTGTGTGTGTGTGTGTGTGTGTGTGTGTGTGTGTGTGTGTGTGTGTGTGTGTGTGTGTGTGTGTGTGTGTGTGTGTGTGTGTGTGTGTGTGTGTGTGTGTGTGTGTGTGTGTGTGTGTGTGTGTGTGTGTGTGTGTGTGTGTGTGTGTGTGTGTGTGTGTGTGTGTGTGTGTGTGTGTGTGTGTGTGTGTGTGTGTGTGTGTGTGTGTGTGTGTGTGTGTGTGTGTGTGTGTGTGTGTGTGTGTGTGTGTGTGTGTGTGTGTGTGTGTGTGTGTTAAAACTGTCGAATATATTGTTAGTAACATCTGGTTCTTAGTATTAATGGTACTTCGACATCTCTATTAAACAACACGAAAAAAGAGAAAAAATCTATGATGATTTATCTCACTTTGAGCTGACATGACGTCACTCTTTGTCCGTGGGATTTGTTTACCTTGTAAAAGGCCGGGACGCTGATTGAGTAAGAATGGATAGATCTTCACACACACACAGGAGAACAACGGCTGGTAAGCAGAGGTCACTCGGAATCGAGTATGACGATCGTCCAGCTATTATTAAGGATGTCATCATCGTTGCTGAGTTCTGAGGTGACTCGAGAGGCCGATACGGGATCGGCAGGGCCGTCCACACATGTTGCAATGTGGAGGGCTACATCTAGTGCGGGAGGGGCGGCAGCAGCGTCTTTCCGGCGCTGGCCCTTGTCGCCCTCGGTATGCAGTCTGGCTAAATCGAAAGTATTGACACTTCGTGTGGTGCTCCTCCAAGCGTTACGGTGTGGAGTGATCGCCTTCCAGGTGAGGGGGGTCGATTTTTCACTTTTTCAGGTTTGCCTTAAGACTATCCTTATACCTTTTCAATTGCCCGCCAGCGTTACATTTCCTATTCGTTAGGTGACTGTAAAGTAGCTGGTTTGGCAGTCTACTGTCGTCCATGCTGGTAACATGGCCAGTCCAACGTAGTTTTTCATGGATTATGGTAGCCTCGATGCTCGTACATTTGGTGTCAGCAAGGATGCTGGCATTTGCTTTCTTGTCTTCCCAGCGAATTCGGAGGATGGAATGTAGACTACGTTGGTGAAAGTTTTCAAGTGCCTTGAGGTGCCTCCTGTATGTGACCCATGTCTCGCTGCCATATAGTAGGGTGGGGAGTAGCACTGATCGATATATGTGCAACTTTGTAGATAATTTCAACTCCCTACAGCTGAAGACACTGGCTACGGAGTCTGCCAAAAGCTTGAGATTTTCTTATGATCCGATGTTGAAGCTCTTCATCGATGTCCGAAGTGATGACTGGAGAGGATAGTACAGTTAAGCTTGATGGATAGTGAATGTTTGGTTAAACCAGGGGCAGGCTGAAAGAGAACCTGAGTTTTATGTGCATTCACCTCAAGGCCGAAGTGTGCATACACATCTGTGTAGGTGTTTAGGATCTCCTGTAAGTCGCGTTCAGTGTGAGCGACGAGCGTGAGGTCGTCTGCATACTGAAGTTCAGTGATGGGATCGGCCGACACCTTTGTTCCTGCCTGGAGTCATCTTATGTTGAAAAGACCCTTCATTTGGTACTGGAAATTCACCCTGCCAGCTAAATTGGCACCGGCACTAGTAAGGAAGGCAGCCAAGAAAATGGAAAAGAGAGTTGGTGCCAGTACACATCCTTCTTTTACCTCTGTTTGGATGGGGAAGAACTCAGACTGGGTGCCATTGAGCAGGACACTGCCTTTTATGCCATCGTGGAGTTGTCTCTGAATGGCAATGGATTTTGGTGGGCAGCCAAAACGGCTAAGGGTCCGCAAGTGGGCTTCTCTGTTGACCGAGTCGAAGGCCTTGGTTAGGTCAATGAAGGCCATATACAAGTTACGACGCTGTTTTCTGCATTTTTCCTATATCTGGCGAGCAGCAAAGATCATGTCAGTGGTGCCACGTGATCGTCTAAAGCAGTAGTGAAAGTCTGGGAAGAAGTTTTCCGCTTCAGGAGGATTCATGCAATAATCTTGTCAGCTACAGACAGCAGTGATTTCCTCCTGTAGTTGTTACAGTCTGATCGGTCTCTCTTGTTCTTATAGATAATGGCGTTCTCGGGGGATTTCCTTCTTCTCCCATATTTTCTCCAGGAGAGAGCAGAAACGGCTGGTAAGCAGAGGTCCTCCTGCTTTATACACATCGGCTGGGATTCCACCAGGCCCTGAGGCTTTGTTATTTTTCATCTGTTTGATGGCAGTAGCTACCTCATCCAGGGATGGAGGATAGCTGGGGTGGGTCAGCACTGGATGCTGAGGGACCTGCTGGGTAGTCAGGACATCCACATCGGAGTTTCGGTTGAGCAGCGAATGGTAGTGCTCTTTCCAGTGCTGACGGATGCCTTCTCCGTCTTTAATTAGGGAGTTACTGTCGCATGAGCGGAGGGAGGGGGGGGGGGCACGTCTCATGAGTAGTTGAGCATATATTGTTGTAGCGGAATTGAAAAATTCACTCATCTTGTGTTGATCCACAAATTTTTGTACTTCACATGCTATATTTTTTCACCATTCGTTCATTAGTTTGCGAAGCTCGCTCTGGATCGACGCTTTCTTCTCGTGGACGGTATCAGTTTTGGTCCGAAACTTAGGGTTGTTCTGCCAGTCAGTGAAAGCAACACGTTTACTATTGATTAGGACTTCGATTCCCGGGTCGCTTTCATCAAACCAATCCTGGTGTTTTCTTTTGATCTGGCCGAGGGTCTCTCTGCAGGTTTTTGTCTTGACAGTGTCGAGAATACGCTATTTGGCACTGGGATTTTGGTTGTTTGCTGTTGGGTTGTTTGTCAGGCCATCGTTGAGCTGCTCTCTGAAAGCATGTGCTACCGCTGGATCCTCTAGTCGCTTGGTGTTAAAACCTCTTCTTGCGGCTTGTTGCCTTCGCCGGTTTGGGGCGACGTGAAGGGAGAGTTTGACACTGACGAGCCGATGATCTGTGGCACAGTGGTCTGAGCCAGGCATGACTCCGGTGATGAGGACATCTCGGTGATCTCTTTCTCTGACTCTGATGGAGTCAATGACATGCCAATGTTTGGATTGTGGGTGTTGCCGAGAACCATTGCACCCTTGAACTTGTCGGACTGCCCAAACAAGGTGTTGGTGATAGTGAGATTATGTTCAGCACACTTGCTGAGGAGTAGGCCGTTGGGATTACACTTGCCTGACCCGTTTCTTCCCGTGGTTCCTTGCCATATGTCAGCATCTCTGCCAGCTCTTGCATTGAGGTCGGTCACCTAGGAACACAACCTTATCTTCTCTGGGGATAGAGGTTAGCACTCTGTCAAGGTCGACGTAAAAGGCCTCCTTGATGTCATCCTTTGCATCCAGTGTTGGAGTGTATGCATTGCTTAAGAGGGCATGACGCGATTTTTTTTTTACGGGGATTAGCCCACCCGGGCACAGGTCACTGACCCACATCGGGGCCTGGGGGACTAAAATGTAATAATAATAATAATAATAATAATAATAATAATAATAATAATAATAATAATAATAATAATAATAATAATAATAGTAACAACAACACTGATAATAATATTAATAATGATGATAATAATAATAATAAAGAACCATGAAGAAGAAAAAATTATCAATAGTGAGAAACGATATATGTATGTTGTGTTGTCAAAGTAAGAGAAACAATTGGGACCCTGCAACTATGTGTAAATGAGGCAGAAAGTCAGATCAGCAACGTGGGATTTGGTCACAATTTTCGTGATGCCATATGGCAGCAGAGTCTACCATTAGACAACACATTATGCTTCCAATATCTTCCCAGGCGATAGTACGTCCCTGTTTGATAGTTGCCTACTACCTACTCGGAGCTTCTTGAGGCGCTCGTCGATCCCAACAGGTATTTCAGTTAGCATATTTAGTATGGATTGACTAATGGCAAAGCCAACTCCGTAAATGCGGTTTCTCTCCGCAGCAGGCTTACCCTTCCAGAAAAAGGTATAGCCAGACCCCCGTTCTTTGAGTTGACCCTCGTCTGGGAGCCGGGACTCACTAATGGCGGTTCTTCGTTCAGGACGCTCATTTGTGCCAGTATCCAGAGGGGTCCTGACATTCAGGGATGTGATTTCACCATTTTTTCCGGTTTTCCGTTTTTTCTATCGATTTAGGCGACCCACGTGAATCGTGTAGATCCGTTGAGGAAAATTGGGGTTGGGGTATGGCCATGACGAGAGAAATGTTTGACAATAAATAACAATAATTGACCTTCTAGGGTCGATGGGTCTGTTGCGCGAGGACGATGAGCCAGTATACTGAGTATACAGTAGTGGCCGCACTCATTGGCTGGGTATTGCTTGTTTTGCATTCCACTCATCGATTCTTTAGTATTTCATTACCAAAGATCAATAACGTCATAGAATGTCACAGTTAGAAGCATTGTAATATGGGCCTCCACCCTTCCCCTCCGCCACTGGCCGGGGCTAAGCATTTTTCAATATAACCAAGTTTCTATAATCATTTTACACTTTCTGGTGATCACAATTTATTCTATAACATGTTTCATAGTTGTGCTGGCAACTCAGTGTTTGTTTACTATTTCTTTCAATAAATCGACAAAGCAACTGCCTTTGTGCATCATAGCTGGACGGCTTCTTATTTCACAATATCACTTTGTCAAGAAGATTGTGAAATAGAAGCCGTCCAGCGTAGAGCAACAAAGGTGATACCTTCTTTACGTAACAAACCCTATGAAGAGAGGTTGGAGGAATTAGACTTGTTTTCATTAAAGAAGCGTCGACTCCGGGGTAGATTAATCAAATGTTTTAAAATATTCAAAGGTTCACCAATGATGACCCAAACAAACTATTTATACTTGATGATAACTCTCGTATGAGACGTAATGGGATGAAGCTACTAAGATGTCAACAGGTACAATTAGACTTTACGAAATAATTTTTTTCGCTAATGACTTTGTCAGACAGTGGAATAACCTTCTTGCTTTAATTATTAAAAGCAATACGATTAACACTTTCCAAAAACACCCCGATCGCAACTTCTCTCACGAAGATATTCGCTTTTCTTTTCTTTTTTTTCAGGGACAGATCACCTCGAATAGACCTAAGGGTCTGTGTGGTCTGTGTTTCCGTGTAAATATATATGCATCTCAACAGTTACGTCACTCATCTTTCTTTAGTTGTCGGAACTTCTATCTATCTCTCCATGAGAGGTCTGTCAACACAATTACTGGCACATATGAATGGTAACAGGTTGTTAATTATCACTTGTCTGCACTCCAGTATTTTTTCTAGGGAAGCCATTGAGTGTCCATTGGACCCGTTGATGTGTAGGAACATAAAACTCTCCAGCAGTAGGTATAGAAGTATGTTAAACCAGAAGAGGTTGCAGCAGGAAGAAAATGAAGAGGAACGTTTTATCAAAGAAACAGTTTGATTAAAAGAAACAGAGTGTGAGGAAATGGCTCAAAAATCAAGGAAGAGCAGAGAGGCCTTCCAGCCACAAAAACAAAAGCGTTTACACTCTGAAAAACTTGCTGATGTAATTAAAACTAAGAATAAAACAAAACCAAATGAGTGAATATTACATGGGAAAGAAAACTAAATATTTTGTTTGTATATATCGCGGAACATGCTGGTGCATTAGAGATAAATCCCTTTTGTAAGTATTAAATTTTGAATTCTCACACAATAAAGTGCCAAAAAAATTACCTTTTAGTTCATCTTCTCTCAATAATGGTGCACAATTAAAAATATGAAGAAAAAAAATCAAGTTTAGTAACAATTAAAATTTGTAAAGGAATTATTAAGGCTATATGCATGAAGAATAGTATTGCAATAAACATACATGATTGATTTGGGGTACTGTGTATTTTAGTTATTAGGCGCTCACAAAATGGGTAACAATGAGAAATTAAGTTAAATATGGTAAAAACTTCCCGGGTAAGTTTTTCCCCGGACCCCCAAGCTCTATTTTTTTTTCTTCAAGATCAAATCACATCCCTGGACACTCCATGCAGCGACTGCATTAGGATGTTCTTATTGGTTGCGGTTGCCCAGTCAGGTTGGTTTTTTAGTCAGGCTATGTTTAGGGCACTTTTTCTAGCCCCCTCCCCATGTAGTGTGAGCAGAGTGGCTCCTCGAAAGGGCTGCTCAGTCGCACAGACAGGACCGGATTACACTGCTGCATAGATCCCAGTGCATAAACGACCATCTTATATATGCCACCCATGTGACTAGAAACTCCCGACAGTCATCTCTGCCTGACCCCGTCGCCACTCGCCCGTCGCCATCGGAGCTTTGGGAGTATAGGGGTTTTGATGATGATGAGAAGTATGATGAGCTGGATGATGGCTGCGCGTGAGTTGATTTATGTGGTGAGGCAGGAGCACAGGCTGCAACCACACATCTTGGCTCTCCCTTTTCCTGATCCAGTGTTGCAGGTAGTGGCAACGACTGGAGAGAGGGAGAGTTGCAATGGACTACCGATAGCCCAGTTTGTTGGATTTCGCCTTAGTAGCCTGTCCATCAGGCATTGCCTTCATCCGCAGGTGTAGTCGTTGGGTTCCCATGTTGATCACCTCTTCCGCCTATCTTGCCGTTAGGGTCTTACGCACACACACACACACACACACCACGAGCCTACAACGACGACTTCAAGTGGTGGGTCTGCGAACTATTAGACTTTTATCGCACTGGTATCCATATAGATGGCGCTGATCACTCAAGTGATAATAAGAAAATGCGAACACTTAATTTTTTTTTCATAGATCATCTCACCACTTATCAGCTTACTAGCTGTTCGGGCGGTTGGTCCGTTTTTTATTACGTTGTTATGAACTTTATTGTCCAGTGTTCTTACAAGAGGAAACCGGAGTACCCGGAGGGAACCTGTGATGCTTGTTTGGTAGTGAGGGTCACACTGTATAACACCATTCCCACGTAGTGTCCCGGGCCAGGACTACCCATGACAGTGGTGAGAGATGCGCTTTACTGCTGTACTGAACCAACCCCCAACAAGTGATGAGGTATTGTGGGATTTTATATAAGAGTATAAACAGATATAAAAATATATTTTGATAAATACATAAATGCAAAGATAAATAAATATATATGCACTCTCACTTAAACATCAAACTGGAATTCGAACTTGCAATAGCGAGAGTAAATTTACCAGCTCTTACTTCTTCATTAGCGAAATTAATGAAAAAAGGACAAATTTCCTCACTACATGAAGAGGAAAATTGGCCCGGAACTCGTGATGCCTGCGGGACCACACCAAACATTTAGTCATATCTGGTGAAAATTAAAATCAAACACTGGAGTTGAAACACTGATCATTTCCTCTTTTCATCCAATATTTCCGAGTCATCATGTTGATGTGCGTTCAATCAGTCATAAAGCCGAAGGTACACAACACCGAGCCACCGTGAACGACACACCTGGCGATGAGTGTATGTGCGTATGTGTGTGTGTGTGTGTGTGTCTGTGTCTGTGTATCTTTCCTTAATCTCTCTCTTGTGGCGACCTGTGGTGGAATGGTCAGCATGCTCGCCTCGCAAGCGAGCGGGCTCGGGTTCGATCCCTGTCATGGTGAAACTGTGGGCAAGTTTATTTACGCCATTTGCCTCTGTCTACCCAGCAGTAATTGGGAACCTGAATGTTAATCGATTTGCGGATCGTGTCTGGGTTAATGGTTAGCCAGTGCAGTTGACGAGTTGCCCGGTCTTCTCGGACTATTCCTTGACACTGGTTCATGCAACTCGTTAACGTAAGGTGTGGTTGTTGTGTTGGCGACAGCTTCTACACCTTAAACAAATTCATGCCAAGGTGGCCCTTGGGCCGACCATCCTCGTTACACGAGTGGCAACCATTGATATATTATTAATCTCTCTACCACCCTCCTTTACTCCCAGCATCACTTATTGAGAATTATTATTATTATTATTATCATCCTTTTTGTACGGTACAACAACAACAATATCAACACCAACAACAAGAACAACAATAATAATAATAATAGTAATAATAATAATAATAATAATAATAATAATAATAATAATAATAATAATAATAATAATAATAATAATAATAATAATAATAATAAAGAGGTGATGGAGGAGATGACATCAAAGGAGCCTCATCTTGGCGTCAACACACATGATCAAAGACCTTACGATAATCCTCTATGTAAAGGTGCAATCATATACAGTACGGCACAGCATCACCACGACCAAAAACACTTCTTCGAAAACATATTTTACGTAAACAACTGATACGAGAATTTCCGAATAGAATCTTCACTACACACAGAAACATACGCACCATGAAGCACAAAAACAGTATGAAGCATAATGGAGAACATAAGAGAGAGAGAGATATATAGATACAGAGAGAGAGAGAGAGAGAGAGAGAGAGAGAGAGAGAGAGAGAGAGAGAGAGAGAGAGAGGTAGTAGGTACTTCACTTGGCTGGCGTGATGGGCTGTTGACATATACCTTCAAAGTCTATGGGAGGTAAACTAACATAATTATTACGATATAAACAACAGCTTGCTTATCTAACTGCTTATTTTTCCGGTCTTATCGCTCATATTTACAATCTCCACATACTTCCACGTACTAAGACGATTAATAACTATATGCTAACTAAAGGTCTATGTTAACCTATCTAATTAATTACCTGTATGTTGTTTACTGCTGAAGTGTGTCATATTTAGAATAGATTAGGTTAGGTTAGGTTAAGCTAGGGTTAGGTTAGGTTATGTTAGGCAATAGACGTCTGAGCCAGCGTGTTTACATTTAATTATTACGTCCGGTCAGACTCTACATATAATCACTACATTTAAGGTTTATTTGATCCGTCTACAAGATTGATAAGTTTCCTAAAGATTCATAATTACAC